TCAGCAAGTGCACGCTTAAAAAGAGGCTTTTTGGTTACTCAACCGGTAAAAGCATACTGCTTAGACTACTACAAAATTTGTCAAATGGGTTCTGCATAATTTATGAAGGTGTTGGAAAAAAAAAAGCCAGCTTCATCACAAAAGGGCTCTGCTCTTCCAGGAGGCATTGGTTAATTGAAGGCTCACAGCATGCTACTTCTCTTCCATGGGGAAAACATAGAGCCCTTGTCTGAAGACAGATCACAGATCTGAGCTTCAACCATCAGACCTACCTCCCAGGTCCTCACACGGAAAGCTCAAGTGAACAAACAGACACCAGCCGATCAAACATATCTGAGTGCCCACGTGCGCCTGGTACCAACACCGGAGGGAACAAGGGAAAAACCAAAGTCTCTGCCCTTGAGGAACATACACAGTAGTTAGAGAGCAATACTCAGGCACCTTGGAGAACAAAAGAAACTACCTACCTACCCCTGACTGCACCGTGGAGGAGCAGTGAGAGGAGAGGGAGAGAAATCTAAAGGGCTTTTCAGCTGCCATCAGGGAAAGGGGTGGGCCAGTTAAGATCAAGATTAGATGGGGTGAACATCTAAGGCAAGGAAGGAAGTGTTGAAAGGAAGCGGGTGGGGGGCCGGAAAAGACACAGTGGCAAACAGGGACAGCATAGAATAGATGGAAACATTCAGGCTGGGAAGTCACGCTGGCATAATTATGAAATAAGCTTCAACAGGGAAAGTAGGATATGAAGGGCCTTGGAGAAAATGCAAAGCAGTTTAGAACAGATTTGACTGATAAGAGCGATCAGCGCACCAGAGGGCTGACAGGTGGAAACCGTGTCTGGCAAGAGGACGCAGGATGGCCCAAAGAGATGAATGTGTGAGTGAAAAAAGGACAACTCTGGCACTTCCTCTGAAGGCTGGACCGAAGGTGGTGCTCAGGAGAGGAAGGCACAGAGCTGTGACTTGAGGGCACCATCTAGAAGATGCGTCGGCTAGGGATCCAGATGGCCAATGGGGTCTGGGAGCGCACAACAGGATGGACAGAACAGGGCACTCAGGGAATGGACGTGAGCAGATCTGTCAGGTGGCAGGAAGCCCACGGAGAAACAGGGCTTGGGACTTCCCTGGTAGTCCAGTAGCTGAGCTTCTGCGCTCCGAATGGAGGAGGCCTGGGGTTTGATCCCTGGTCAAGGAATGGGATTCCACATGCTGCAACTGAGAGTTCACAATGCCACAACTAAAGATCCTGCATGCTGCAAGGAAGACCCAGGGCAGCCAAAGAAAGAAAGAAATAAAACGGTGCTGCACAAGATTAGCAGCAGGGCCTCTGCCACCACGTGCTCCAGCAGTCCAGGGGCAGCTGTCCCGGGTGAGAAAAGCATCAGAGACCGGGTCCTTGCCTCCCTGCAACCGTGACCACAAAGGCATGGCTCCCGGTTCCGCCTCTCGCTCAGTCTCGCCTGCACCCCGACCCCCCTTTACACCCGACACTGAACGCTGCTCCAAGGACTTACTCTCCTCTCTATCACTTGTGAGACACCATGAATGCCAGGAGGAAGGAAGCTGGACCTGAAAATGTTCATGCTCTGAAATCAGTGTTTTATCTCAGAACTTCCCAAATGAAACACTCAAATCCAAGCATCTCAGAACCACACCTGCCACCCAAGTCCATTCTTGGCGGTCACCTCACTAGGCCAGGGGAGACCACAGATATACCAGAGGGCACAAGCGACTGGAATGCCCTTCACGGACTAAGGTTGGGCAGAGCAGCCCCGAGAAACATTTCTGGTTGAGCCTGGAAAGGTCACTCTTCAAGGACAAGAACCCTCCACAAACATTCCACGATACACATTCTAATAAAAAGAACACCAAACTCTACCCCAACTACCTGCACAAGCTCTCTCTTCCCTGGGCCTCAGACTCCTCACACTCAAAGGGGGCTCAGCCAGGGGGCTTCTCAACTCACCGAAGCGTCAATCATTGTTTCTGGGCTCACATCTGACAACAGAACGCCCCTAGGATGCCACAAATGCCTGCTGAAACACCTTCACTTCAGTTTTGCTTGTTTACCATTAACACTCAAGACGATTTTTTAATTCTACCAAGTATACTGACCCCAAAACAAATGGTAGATTGTCATTAAATCAATCAAAATAATTAACTTACTTGATACCTACCATGTACCTACTACTGACATAGGCACCTCCCACCTCATATTCCGGCAATTCTAAATTACAGCAAAACTCTTGGTTAAGACAAATAGAGGCTTTAAGTGGACGGCACGGCATTTCCTTCCACGGTCATCACAGGACCCTATAAATCAGGACTTGGATCCACCTGTGAATACCATAAACTGACCACCTGACGAACACTCCTATCACTGTCACTTGCTGTGACTACTGAAGCACAGTCACTTTTAGAGGGTCTCAAAAATATTTCTGTTCAAATTATAGTTCTGTTCTTGCATTAACTGAATGCCTCTGCTCACTCTGAATAAACTGAAAAGAATATTTTAGAGTAACTCTTTTGTACTTCTGTTTTTCCTCAATAAGAGAAAAATAAAGCAAGGAAAATACTGAGGATTTTATGTCGTACAATTACAGTGAGAAAAGCGCAAGGGACACCACAAAAATCACTAGACTTTACATTCTAGTTTCTACCTAACTCTGGAAGGAAAAGGGTAATATATTTCATTTTCAGGCTAAAAAATAATTTCTTCCAAGTCAAAAAATTTTACTACTGCTTAAAATAGAAGCAAGTGAAAAACGAGTTAATTTTAAAAGATTGAGGGGTGGCTGAGAAGTTCAATTTCAAATTCTGTAAATCCCTGCATAAATGTGACAAGGCAAACTATAGCATTTTGAAAACCATAAAGAAAGGAAAATAAGGAAGCTGAACATTAGGCAAGCAAAATACCTCTTTATTATCAAGTGTTTGCCTAAGAGACTAGCTTTTGCCTCAAATGATCAGGGTTGCAGCAACATTTAAAAATATTCCTTTAAAAAAAAAAAATCGTCCTTAACATAATAGAAAACATAAGGCACCAGTCCCACGCCTGTCCCCTCCACCCTGGGGCATCTCCCAGGCTCACTGTCCTCCACTGCCCCACACTAATCTCCTAGCACCACCAGCCCCTGCTAACCAGGAAGGGACAGGGGACCAAGCCCCACAAGGAATCCACAGGCCAGCCAGCAACCTGGGACCGGATTGGGCGGCAGGGAGGATCAGATCAAATATCTCTAGAATCTAAACTAGGAAATGCGAAAAGAATTATTCACTTAGAAACTGAAAGAAGGCAACAAGAAATGCCACAAAGTCAAACTGGGGCCAGAGTTCTGACCCGCTGAAAAAGCATGTGAGCTGAAGCCACAGGAGAGGGGAAGGTGGGAGAGCGTGAAGCAGCCAGCGGTGAAGGCAGAGTCCCGGGGTGAAGGGTGAAGTTCCGGGACAACTGCTGCTGGGAACAACCCCCTCTCTCCAAGTCAGGTTCCTGGAGCTCAGCCCGTGCAAGCTCACATTCCTGGATTTCTGCACGATCCCATCACACACAGCGTGTGTTCCAACAACAATATCCCCTCCTCTCAGGCCACAGTGGATCTCAGGCTCTTTATGACCAAACGACCAACCCAGCAAACAGGAAGCAAGCCTTCCCTGTAAGCCATTAACATAAAACAGTGAACAGTCCTAGAACTGAAGGAAAATACAGAAGTAAAAAATATCCCCCCCCACACACAAATCTCACACCTGACAGAGAAGGGGCACCAGGGAACCTTCTGAGGTAAAGGAGGGAATGGTTCTGCATCTTGACAGAAATCCATGTCACTCTCTGTCAACACTGATCAAACTGTAAACCTAAAGTGATCATTTCACTGTCTGTAAATTACACCTCAATTTAAGAAACAGACGCCCTAAATCTAAATTGTTCCCTTGAGAGGACTTGAGTTTTGTTTTCCAAAACTAAATTGATCTGGATAAATCTCACAAATGATGTTGAGCAGCCAGCCAGATGCAAAAACACTTGAGTTTCTATATACAGAACAGACACAGAAATTCTTCTCTGGTCAGAGTCAAAACAGGGGCTAACTACACGGACCAGGAGGAGCTGAGGGTCTCTCATTGGGCTGAAAGGTTCTGGTTCAGACTAGCACTTTCATCATGGTGTATTTCATGACCAAGACATCCTCCAGTCATAGATCACACCTTAACGGTAACACAAAAGAGACAGGGAAGGAAAAGGATTTGCTGCTGTTCAGCTGCTAAGTCATGTCCGACTCTTAGCGAAAAGAATTGTTCACTTAGAAACTGAAAGAACCCAGTAAGAAATGTCATAAAGTCAAACTGGATCCAGAGTTCTGACCAGCTGAAAAAGTACATGAGCTGAAGCCAAGGGAAAGAGTACCTTACAATAATCTAAAAGAGATTGGAAAAAGTTTGTCTGGGGTTTTCTTTTTTTTTTTTGGCCTCTAATGAAATGATTATTTCTAGCCAATCTCTTCAGGTAAACAACAAAGAAAATTAAGACTTTTAATTACCCCATTTGTAGAATTCTAGTATGACTCAAGAATCTAATATTAGCGGAGGAAGCTCATTACAGCATAGTCCTTAGAATCCTGTAAATTAAGCTCCATCCTTCAGTGCTCAGCTTCATATAGTGAATTCGCCCTCAATCTAAATGAGCAGCAGAAGAAAAATACCACTCTTCACATCCCTTTTCTACTTAAACAAAAAAAGAGCAAAATCCAGAGGAAGAATTATTTAGTCACAATCCCACTTCTGTATTTTCAAAAGGAGAATTGACTGAAATTCACACATAACCCTGAGATAAATTTTAAAAAAAAAAGCAGATTTTGATTTTCAGAGATTTATAGTTTAAAAACAATTTCACAAAGTTGTTAAAGTTCATAAGCATAAAAACAGAATATGTAAAAGTGGAGCAACAGATAGTCAAATTTGGACACCTAAGAAGATAAGAAGCCAGAGAGTAAACTGAAAAGTACTTACAGCCATAATTAGTTCAAAGGGGTGTTTATACACCCTCACTGGTGACTGGTATTTTTGCACCATGATTGCAATAAAACAGCAATCCTTTCACACCTGCAAAACACAAACATTTGTGATAAATAACCATGATATGGAAAAAATTTGCACTTATACAACATACTACAGTCTAAAGAACCTCAATAGGTCACAATTCTATGCACACACAAGTCAAAAGATGATGCTTAATTATACAAGGGCAAGGGAAGACAGGAAGGCAGGAAGAAAAGGTGAAGAAAGTCCAAGTGGAGACAGGGAAGGAGTGCTGGTCTGAGGACTGGAGGACTCAATTACCTTACCAGCCTCACCGCTTCTCCCGGGGCTGCCCTGGGTCCTTTCCAGCAAGTGAAATGCCATGATTCAATTATTCTAATAACCCACACAATTAGTTCTTGAATCATTTTCTCTTCAACTTCCATGAGAAGCCAAATAAAAATGGTGGCACTTCAAGATATTAAGCCCAGGACACACAAAAATACAAGTGGAAAAAAAAAAAATACTACTGTTTCTTAAATTATGGGATACTCCTCAAAAGCTATTTTCAAAGGAAACTTGTCAATCTCCATTTTCTAACTGCACAGGCTACAACAACTTCAGGGACCAGTCTTCAAATGGCAGACACTCTAAGCCCTCTGGCTAGAGGCTCCATTGACTTTTTCAGCCTCAAAGAGCTGTAATATCAGGACGCAATCAACCAAGTGTTCAAGCCCACTTCACTCTTCAAGAATCCTTCTGCCAGGGGCACATTCAGAGGCTGGCCCCAGCCTAAACTGGATTTTTCTGAAAAACACACTTTTATTTGGAGCCCTCTATAGGGACTTCATTTCCCTATTTAAAAAGGAGGAAGAAAAACAAATCCAAAGAGCCTACCTGTCCTGCTGAAGATAATCATTAAGAAAGTTATTTTATGCTGAGTACAATGAGAGAATATTCAAAAGTACAAAACGGAATATCCTCAAGGAGCCCAAAATCTAGCTGTAACAAAGGAAAAAATTACAAAGGTATATTTTATTTCATAAGATTCCTACCCATATTAATTACATTTAAACAGATCTGGAACTTCCTCTGGTATGTTTCGCATACCTCTCAGAAAGACCAGGTTCTGGCAGCAAACAGCTATATCAGGCAGTGTGAAAAACTGCTCGAGTAACTCGGGGCGACCTCAAGCAAGTCATTTGTCTTTGCCGGGACTCAGATCCAACACTGTAAGACTTCCAGCTCTAAAATCAGGAGACTCAGAGTCAAAACTCCTGAATCCACCACAATCAACTGGAACGCCGTCGTTAATCTTGATTCTGGGACTGGTAGGTCCTGGTGCGCTGGGATAGAGTTCTGTTTAGTTTTGCCAACCTGATAATGCTGGTGCACAGCCGGAATTCGATAACCTTTTAAGTTTTTAACTAGAAAAATTTAATTTTAGGATATCTCCCACAGAAGGAGAGGATACTTACTGGGTATGTAAAGGGGTTGTAGGGATGGGGAGACAATGTTTAAAAAAATAAAAAAGAGGAATGCGCGGTTAAGACTCCGTAACACCTATTCGGGATTCCACTGCCTGGCAGAACCCGAAGCGACTACGGTCAAGAACCTGGTAATTCCCGAGCTTCTGAACTCCTGCCAGTTCCCAGCTTCGGATGCTCTGGTCCAAACGAACGTCCTACGTGGGAATCTGGAGTTACAACGGCCAAGCGGCACCGTGGACCAGGGCAGCCCTCTATTGCATGACAATCGGTGCTTTAAAATTAGCCAATGGCCGGACTCAACGAGTACACCCCAAGCAGGCTGGAGGGGTGGCCCGGCCCTCGGCTCCATCTGGCAGGGGTCCCGGCGCGGCGGTTTCTCGGGCCCCCAGTCCCGGGGAGAGACAGGGAGATGCACCGGGGGGCCGGCTGGGAACCCAAACTCCGTTTCCCCCAGGAAAGGGGGGTCTCTGGGGTGGGAAGATCGGAGGTGATGGGGGCGGGGAGGGGGCGACCCAATACTGTAGGAGCCTCACGGGGGGGGGGTGCGGGGGGGCGGGGAGACGGGGCAAGAGGAAGGCCCACTCCCGACCCGGGCCGCGGGGCTGAGGCGAGCCGAGCGGAGCCGAGGGGCCGGGGAAGGGTGGGCTAGGCGGAGAGGCGGCCGCGAGAGCCCTGCGCCGCCCGCAGGGGCCGGCCCGGGGGGCGCGCTCGAAGCCCGCCGCGGAGACGCGCGCCTACCTCTCGTCAGAAAAGCCGAGCCGGGGACGCGGGGCGGCCGAGGGCGCTCATGACGGCGGCTTCGTGGCGCCGTCGCCGTTCCACTGCCGGCCGGCAGCAGCTCCGCCGCCGGTTCCGGGGAGTGGGCCGGGGGGAGGCGGCGGGGGCGGGAGCGGGAGGGGCCCGGCGAGGCTCGAGTGGTTGTTACGGGTGACGGGGAGGGCGGGGCCAGGAGGCCGGAAAGGGAGCGCGTGCGCGAGGGCGGCCGAGGGGCGGAGGCGGGCGCGAGGACGGTTGCTAGGGAGGGGGGAAGGGCTGACAACGGGACTCAGCCCAACTGCGCAGGCGCCAACACCGAGCCGGGCGGACGTGGGCGGAGCTCGGAACCGGCGTCCGCCCAGAATCGCGGCGGGCCACAGGCGCCTGGCCCCGCCCAGGGTTGCGTCAGTGGGCGTGTCTTGGGTAAGGGGCGGGGCCCGCGAGTAGCCCCGCGGAGGTGGCCGAGACAAAAAAAAAAAAAAAAGCCGGCGATGAGCCGGCACCCGGGGGAGTTCCGCTGACTTGAAACTGGGAAGTCTGCGAGGCATCAGAACAGCTGGGGCCTTCCGGTTTTGCCGGCGCCCACGGCCCTGGCTAGGCCTCCTACCCGGAGGCCCTGCCCTTGGTCTGAACGGCGCTGGAGGCTCTCCGAGCTTCCTCGTTTTTTGTTGACTTCTGCAGCGCCCGGACCACATTCTCGCCGAGTAATGCAGATGAGGCAAACCCCAGGGCTGGGGAGGGGCTGGGTTGGACCAAGCAGCATCTTGTCAACATGTCCAGGCTGTGCAATGGAACTAAGCCAAGTGGATCTGGCGTTTCAGCGAGAGCTCCAACTTCGAAGCACAAGTGTGATACACACTGAGACCTCTGGGAGTTCTTAAGAAGAGCTAATGACTAGAGAGGGACAGCACGCACATCCACCCACACAAGGCTGGTTTTATAGCCAACATACAGTTTCTCCATCAATGTCACTGTTGTTCCGTTCCCATTAGTCACCCTGGGTGGCTGTGCATTTGACGCTGCCAGGGCAGAGCACATTTTTGGAACTGTTTTAGAATTCCCTTCAGGGCCAGTTTACCAGTTACACAAGAAAATCATTCATTACTTGATCACACCTTGTTTTTCAACTCAAACCATCATTTTCCAACATGATCACCTACCCTGCTTACTAGACTCATCTAGGAACTGGCTTTTGCCTGTTTGTAAAAATCACATCCACCTTCAAAAGGTACTGGGAGAAAGAGACAACCCAGTAAATAATAGCACTTATGAAATGGTCTCACCCCAGAATTGACGTCATCTGATAAGGCTCTAGATGCAACCACCAATTTACAGGAAATAGAGGACAGAGCAACATGTTAAATGATACCAAGGGGGAAATTATCAGCCAAGCCTTCATCATGGGAAATGCTGCAGGAAAAATATATTGTTTATCAAAGTACAATGGAAAAAAATAGGATAAAGGCCACACTATAGATCAAAAGAGACTGAGGAATTTACTAAGCCATACACTTATAATTTGTGTGCTTTGTATGTATGTTTATAATTCAATGAAAATTTTTTTCACACATAAAATTATTTTCTTGAAAAATCCAAATTGTAGAAATCCTCACGTGAACTTCCCTGGTGGCCCAGTGGTTAACAATCCACCTGCTAAAGCAGGGGACACAGGTTCAATCCCTGGTCGGGCAAGATCCCACAAGCCTGACCTAGATCACATGCCCATTCCTGAACCATTCTTTTGATCCAGAGGGCTCAGTGTCCAGTTCTGGGTCACACAATCCCAACAGCAAAACCAGGGATAAGTCTCCAGTGAAACCTTGTGCACGTATAATAACAGAAGGTAGTTAAAAAAAAAAAAGATATATGAACAGTATCCTTAAGCAGTATCATCAAGATACAGGAACAGATTCCCAAGATGAATAGACTTGGGAAGGGAGTAACACTCCTCTAGATGCATAAGGTATGGTGTGTTTGATTGTTTTAAAATCAGCTCCATTGGGCAGATATCCAAAATCTATAAGAAACAGCACTGAACACCATGCTGCAGAGTTAAGCAGAAAGATCCAGTCCTTTTAACACACGTGCATGGAGTGTGTTCTTAGTATTTGTCAGATGCTGGGTGAGGCGTAAAGGTGAGCAGTGGAAAAGTATATCGGAATCAGGTTTGGCTGCCAGTGAACAAAAGCCCAAAGTAAAAGTGACTTGACAAGATAGAAGTCTGTGTCCCTCTCAAATGAATCAAGTCCAGGAAAGTCCAGGGTGGGAATGACACCTCCCTGATCACTGTTAACTGTCGACTCCCCCAAGACCACCTGAATGTGGATGCAGGTGGCCTCTGGTCTCATCATCAGGGACATAGGTTCCTTCTGTCTTGCTGCTTTCCCATTGTCATGATGTATCCTCTACCTGGGGTGAGCAGGAGGCGAGGATGAAGACCAAATATCCTTCCTTGAAAGATGCTTCCTTGGAAGTAGGCTGTGTGCATGCAGTAGTGTGTGTGTGCGTGCAGTAGTGTGTGTGTGTGTGTGTGTGTGTGTGTGTGTGTGTGTGACAAGCAGAGCAAAGGACAGGCCTGGCGCAGCAGCAGTGCCCCAGCAAAGACCATCCTGCTGCTCCTGTCTTCCGGTGCACACAGGCTCTCTTCCTCAGACAGACTCTCTAAGGTCATATTATGAGAGTCTCTGAAACACCTTGACTGAGTCCCTGGCTTGAGGAGCATCTGTGTCCCTCTTACTTGGTGGATGGAAGCCCTGATGGGTGCTTTGTATAGGCCATTTATCAGGTGCCTTTGGACTGGAGACAGAG